TTTGTATTGTTTTCATTCAAAAACACATTCAACACTTCAATGCGGTCTATATTTATGACCAATAATTACGTCAACTTTTATTTATTATTACATTTAATTGTCCTTTAATTCAGTTATTTTGCAATTAATTAAAGAAAGTTTACAAATGTTTTTATTAAAATGCAATCAAATAATACTTAAATCTATTTAAACAAAACATTTATAAAAAGTTTAACAATTTATTGTTGACGTAATATATAAAACATTTTTGACAAACAATTTTCAAAAAGTTTGGCGCAATTCATGTGATAATTGACATGAATTGTCAATCAATTGGTTTGAATGCTTTGGTTCGCAAACTCTCGCAAATGACTTCTGTTAACAAAATATTTAATAATTTATAATTTGGGACAAAATTATATCGTTTATACAAACCTTAACGTAAAGTCTGTCCCGAGGTTTCTCTTGGTTTCAATCGATTCAATACTTCTATTGATTTGTCCGATGATGTCGTGGAAGAGATGAGGACAACATTTGGTCACAAACTTCAACACATCAAACAATGGCTTCACTTGAGATCTATTGGTTAAATTGTTTTCTATATAACTTGTAAACACTCTGTCGATTAAAATCCTATATAACAAAACAAATTTAGCATTTTTCTCCAAATTTAATGCTAACTTCACTTACTTTTGGGCGTTTTGTTGAGAAAATATCTTAAGTATAGAAGCGATGAGAACCAAAAAGTTCTCTTTGATTTTGAAATCTATGAAAATCCTTTCGAGTGTTAGACTTAAGATTTGGATCAATTGATCGTCACTTAAATTGGATTTACAAAAATCATCGATAAAATGGATAAGATTTGGGTTTAAACTGGTTTCAGATCTGGGAGTAAACATATTGACCACAGTTTGAAACAAGCATTTGCGCCAATCGTGGCCAACATTTCTGTTTTCAAACTCATTCTGCAATGAATTATAATTAATGCTAGAAATTGAAAGTCTGGTAAAAATACAAACCATTAAAAAATTGAATTGATTGGGAAATAGGGGTAAATAATGAACAATAGTTCTGTGGATTTGTCGCTCAAGGAATTGATTGCTTGGATAAGATTTGGGTTTAAACTGGTTTCAGATCTGGGAGTAAACATATTGACCACAGTTTGAAACAAGCATTTGCGCCAATCGTGGCCAACATTTCTGTTTTCAAACTCATTCTGCAATGAATTATGATTATTTATAATTAATGTTATTTATAATTAATGCTAGAAATTGAAAGTCTGGTAAAAATACAAACCATTAAAAAATTGAATTGATTGGGAAATAGGGGTAAATAATGAACAATAGTTCTGTGGATTTGTCGCTCAAGGAATTGATTGCCACTGTATTGCAGTTTTGATAGGCCTTCAAAAAACTGTCAATACATTTAAATCTAATTAAAATTAATTTCTCAATAAAATATTATAATTAACTCACATATGGAAATGACTTCTGATATATTGCATTAAATTGTGTTTTGTGTTCGTTTGGCGAGTGTTTGGTTAATACTATTTTATCGACAATTTTTGGTAAAAGACAATTGGATTTGAAGGGTATGTATAAAAGTTGTGAACCAAACGAAAGTAAACTTGAAATGAGTTGAAATATTCGCTTAAAGAGAAGCAAAGGGATCGTTGTTTGTCGTAAAACCGAATCACAGACTGTAATCATTTCATCGAAATACTTGTGAGCCTCTTGTATGGCAACCATTCTCTCGTTTAGCACACATTCCGCGTATTTTTTGCTCAAATTTCTAATAAAGTTTGCAAAAATTTGAGTCGAATTTGTGGTCAAATTCATTGTTTCCTCATATCTTAAGTCATCGATAATTAACGACATGTTATACGACACCGAATAAAGCGAAGATTCAGTGATTTCAGGACTCACTAAAAGCCGACACCAAATGGCAATTAAAGTAGTGTTCAAATTAGAGGCGTCTTTGCGCACACTTTCCATCAGATTTGTGTTTTCAATTACAAGAGACAAATATTTGCACAAAAATTCGCTATTATTTCGAGAAATACTCAGAAAATCGTTGAACACATGAGAAAACTTTATTTTCTCATTTGTTTGAGAACTAAAAACAAAAGTTATTAATAATAACTTATTATTATACTAATTTGCTTACCGTAAAGAGCCGCATATAATCGCATTCAATTATATTTGATCAAACAGTATAAAAATTATACAGTGCAATTTCTCTATAAAGAACAGCCAGTTTCACCTCAAATGTGTTCCTTATAAGAGGGAGGGGTATTCTTCAAGTGAAGTTCGTATATAGACATGATAAACATCAAACAGTCTGATTAAATGAAGGTAGTTTGATTGTAGAGCCAATTGTAGCAGAAAACTAACATAAAGGGGCAATATGTGACAGGTATGGGGCAATATGCCACAATCTCACTCTACCTTCATTTAACTAGACTGTATTATATTTGTTAATTTACCATAAAAAGGTTTACCAAGGTTAACCCTCTGTTTTTTCTCCATGGCCTTGAACCTAGGTTTAAAAACTTAACTGACCCCGGGTTAACCCTTCTAAATAGTTAACCTCGGTCAAAATGCTCTTCTATAAATTGAGGTAAATATATACTTAACATAAAACGCACTTAACATTGAGTAAAGTTGAACCAATAAAGAAATTGTGGGAAAAATGAAAAATATAGAATGCAATGAGATGCGGCGCTTTACGGTATGTGAATGAATGAATAGTTCTTACCATGAATTTGAAAGTTTTGTGAAATTGAAAGCAATTTCTGCGAAGAGATCGTTATTTTTCTTATTTATGATCTCTTGTTTGACAAACGGAAGAATTGAATCAAAACATGTATTTATAAATGGAGTCAACTTATGCTCAGATTCTTCTAAATGTTGACCAAATAAGTCATTCATTTGTAATAATAAATACGATATGAAATGAATAATAAATAACTGTTCATCAGATTTAAGGCATGAAAATACAGTGAACTTAATGTTTATAAGTTTATCAAAACTTATTTCTATGTATTTCTTATTTTTAACCAAAATTTCTAATTCATTGAAATAACAAGACATCAAACGAATGAATAACTTATTCACAGAATTTGTGTTCAAATTCTTCACGTAATTGTCTTCACATAAATGAGTGATAAGTTTAGCGATAAATGGAGTGATTTTCTCGTCGCTAATAGAATTGGGTTTAATATAAATGGATGTAAACATAAACTTCATAATCAGTTCGGCATTAGTTGTGAAATTAATTTCGATTAAAGCATTCATTGTTTGCAATATTTTGTCCATAAAATCAGTCCAAATCTCTGGGCGAGAGTTAATGAGAACCAAATAAAAGGAAAGCAGATTCAAAAGACCGCTTTCTTTCATTACAGTCAGAGTTTTTGGCTGAATATTTGCCATTACTTTGCCCTTAAATTTCATCCAATTTGTCAGCTTTTGCTTTGATTCACAATTTGCGAAAACTGTAGACAACTGTTCACTCATTAGTGTTAAAAACAAATGGAAACAATTGTCGAGATAACCATTGGTTGAGTCGTTGAATACAGACATCTCACGAATCAGTTGACACCATTTGGTACTGGATTTGGGTTTCACAGCATATTCTTCGACACTTGCCTTTGCGTAACATTTGTTGATATTTTTGAGAAAATACTCGACAAAAGGCAACAGAAGATCAGTGTTTGGCTTCCAATAGGCGTTTGATTTCAAGCAAAACAATATAAGAGCCGAAACCTCCAAATCAGTTAAACTGCAATCGTTTTGCTTAAAGAGTTGTATTATTTTCTTGAGAAGAGGTGTAGGAAAAGGTTGACAATTGCTGTGATATTTATACTGTCCGCACATATCGTAGTGAAAAGTTTGTATAATGTTTGTCACAAACCATATCGAGTGAAGCGAAGATTTATCGCACAAACAATTGTCGACACAATAAGTGTTGAAATCCTTTATAGAAATGGTTTCATTTGACGTCCGATTCGTGGCTTTACTTAGTGTCCAAAATATTAAGTCTAAAAAGTTGTCATTACTTTGAGATGAGTTGAGAGCACTGGACACGTGTCTTATGAGGACAAACATCTCTTTGACGCACAAACAGTCAAATACTGGCAATGAAATCAATTCAATGATTTGTTTGCATTGATTGAAACGATTGATCGATAAAACAATTAAATCAAACAAAACTAAACGAAGACTTTGAAGGCATAACTGACTCGAAGACAATTCCTCGCGAATGAGGGTAAAGTCATTTAAATTGATTTCATTGTTTTGATCCAAAATATAAGTCATTTCTATGAATGTCCACCAAATGTCAAGACATGTGTGGAAGTGGTTATAGATTGACGTCTTTGGCTCACTATTAGTCGCCAAATGAATTAATTGTGGACTCAATCGCGACAATCGATTCACAAATAAGAGCAAAGACTTCATTTGTCTCATAACTAATACACAAAACGAGTTATCGTTTGTCACGATTTGCTTCTTTTGAATACATATCTCAAACAGACGTCTCTTTAAGAATTGCAGAAACCGTGAGATTTGGTCCCGAATTGGGCCGAAATCGTTGCTCAAGACATTGCCATTGGAGGCGCTTCTGGCCATTGAATCGTCTCTCAATTGATTGAAATGTTTTCTGCAAATCAAATAACAAGACATGAATTGAATGAATGGTTGGAACCAATGGATCAAAGGATGACTCACTTAACCAAACAAAACAACACTTGTATCTCATTTGATGGCAAATCGGATGCATTGAAATCAAATCCAAACAAACGGATTGAGCGCTCATTTGTCACAAAACGGCAATAATTATCGCTTTTATTCAAAAGCCTTTCATTAAAAACAATGCATTAGTTATGAAATCATTAAAAAACAATTAAATCAAATTCAATACCATTTGAGTTGATTTTGCTTTAGATATGAGTTGTGTTTGCCGTCAAAGCAATTGTTTTCTGATGTATTCAGTGATGAATGACAACAAAATTGTGATAAAATGTATTCATTTGTTTCACACATTTTGCCTTTAATTACAATTAAATCAATTCATTATTAAAAACACTTCAAATCATTTCAAAACAAATCGCTATTTATTTCCTATATTTAGCGCCAAAACACATGAAAACAAATATCAGTTCATTCATCAAGTATTCAGTCATTCAAATATATATATTGTCCCCAAACGACCCCTTCTTAACGATTATGTACGGCTCACTCCATACAACCCCATATACAACACCCCTTTTGTATATTTACGTTATTTGTGGTAAAAAATCATTTTCTGCAAAAGGCTTTATAATGATTACATGAATGATGTCTTTTTCTGTGAAATATAAAAGTTTACTGACAATGACCAAACTCGTGAGTGAAATGACGAGTGAATTGACTCTGTACAATTAATAACCGATAGTTACCAATAGTATACCAAAGGGTAATACAAACCTCACAATTACTTAACTATAAAATACGTGTAAATCAGTTGAAAGTAATAATATTGTATGCAATTAATAGCACTCATCAGTACTATTAATATCTAATTGAATGAAATAATTGATGAAAACGAGTGTTTAATTAACAAATAAATCAATTTTTAATGATTTGTATGAATGGAAGGCTTTCATAGTATTATGCGCTCAGAAAATAAATTAAACAAAACATATATTCATATATTTATAAAATGTATGACAAATGTGAGCAATGATTGCTATTTACAAACTCATAAAACATTAAAATTGTTCACTCAATAAGAAAAATGAGAGTAGAATTTAAATTACAATTGGATCTACAAATGGGTAAAACATATACAATATATAACTAATAAATATTATTATTATTAATTACAACAAACAGTGCGGGAGAGGGGGAGGGATGGGATGGCATTGATCTCAAGTAAAATGTATTTACAATTACAATATATGGCACTTATATTACATATAAATTATATACAATTTCATGTCATGAAGTATTCAAGTATTGATCGAAAGTTGTTTTATAAATTGACGAGAAATGGAGAACACAATCACATTAACAAGTGGTGGTCTTATAGTGTAAGACATTGCCATTAGCTATACTGCCGTTGGACGTCGTGCTACTGATTTTGCTGCCTTTGCTTCCGTCCGACGACTGTTTACTGTTTGTATTGCTATTAGTGTTGTTGTGATTCCGTTGATTGTTATGGTTATCGACCGACACGTCTCTCAGTAAGTGTTGAGCGTTTGAATATTCATCGATTGTGTCGATATCGTAGTTCTCGTCCTCCGTCTCACTTAAAGTCATGGCTTCGTTCTCAGGAGTCATACCTATTGGTCGACTCAATGGGAAGAAATGTATGTCAGACTCATCACAAGTGTCCAACAGATTCTCTTCAATCACTATATTATTTGATAACTGCTTCAACGGAACCGACAGATCGTCGGCCGCTATTACTTGCGACGAAGACTTTTGTTTTTGTTGTGACTTATATTTTGAATAATAGCTAACATTAAGGAAGTGTTCGTTCGTATCATTTATTAACATTTCAATCACTTCGATAAAAGTCGGTCTGTGTTTCGGACTTCGACTCCAACACTGAGACATCAGATCCCATCTGAAAGACAAATATAAAAGTGTTATATTATATATTTCACCACAAATTTGATAATCAATACAATTTTTGTGGACAATTCTCTGGTCTTTCCATTTTTCCGCCGTCGACCACATATTTGAGAACTGCTTCGTTAGACAACCCCTGATAGGGCTGAGAGGCGAGAGTTGCCATTTCCCATAACACCACACCATAAGACCATACGTCTGAATGTGTAGTAAAAACTCCGTCTTTTAGTGACTCGGGAGCCATCCATCGGACCGGCAGAAGGCCTTTCCCTCCCTTCCGATAGTAATCGGTTTCATAAATATCTTAATAATAAAATGTCAAAATTAATCTCATGTGAAACCGTTATAATAATTTGGTGCCAAACCTCTAGTCATCCCGAAATCGCCTATTTTGACGGTCAAGCCGTCGGCGACCATACAATTACGAGCGGCCAAATCGCGGTGAACGAACTTTCTTGAACCCAAATATGCCATTCCGTCCGCTATTTCTATAGCCATCTGCAAGAGCTGAGGCAAAGTCGGCGGTTTGGCGTTCGGGTGCTCCTAAACAGTCATTTCAGTTTTAGCACATCTTATCATAACGATGGCATCAATCCATTATTACTTCACTGTCTGGTCGATGAACTCTTAAATAACTCCTGAGGTCTCCGTTGGACATAATCTCCATCAACACATAAACCGGATGTCCGACAGAAACAATTCCCAGCAGTTTCACGACATGATTACAGTCGACAAAAGACCTTAAAATAAGTAAAGCGTTAGAGAACTCTATGGTTAAACAAATGACAGCAAATGGTATACTTCATGACATCTGCCTCTTGAAGGAAGTCAATGCGTTCGCGAGGGGACGCGTGATCGTTGACTGTCTTCACCGCACAACGCATCACATCCTTATCTTTGAGATATTCTCCCTCATAGACCATACCGAAGGAGCCCTGACCTAACTCTCTGCCCACATGAACCTTATCCCGCGGTATTTCCCAATACGGGTCGGGTTCGTACGCTTCATTACAAACGCTCATTAGTATAAGCTTTTCAAGCAATCAATCATAAAATGCATACCGAGTCCGGCGCTAATGTACTCCGGATTGACAGACACGTAGTCGAGAACGGCTTGATTTTTCTTGTATTTCAAATACAAAACACCGGTCATAATGATAAACGAAACGCAGACCAACGCCGCCACCGGTATTACAATGTATATTAGTAGAGGATATGGAGGCACTATTGGGCCGTAGAATCAAACACATTGTTATAAATACAAAAACGATAACAACTATTCTTTACTCACGTTTATCTTCGACGAAGAAATAGACGGGTTTCGTCCAATTACTCCAAGACGCCAATGAATGAGCCCTTAATCGGAATGAATAATTACCGGGCGATAGATCTTGTAATACATAACCAGAAAGTCGTAAGTATTGATCTCTGGTTATACAAACTGGAATCGTATAGGCCTGGCATGGGATACAAGTTTTCATTTAATTAATCAAAATATTGGTTCACTAATGCAAACAATAGTACCGATTCTGAGGACACTTTCTTGTACTCGATATGATAGGAAACGATATAACCATTGGGAGCCGTGGGCTGATCCCACTTTAAGTGAATCAATTGAGATTCAGTGTTGTTATCACTGAAACTAGTAACAAACAACTCATCGATATCGTCGGCGCCGTCTAATACAATATGTAATTAAATGACACATTAAACTCATTGATAGGTTTATGTGATAAGCAATGGACTAACCGAGAGGTAGAGTTCGGACAGAAGTCATGGCTTTAAGACTACACAATTGCGGGTCCGCACGCGTGTCATTGGGTTTCTTGTCCTGACACGCGCGCACTTCTATTGTGTATTCTGTAAAATGTGTCAAATCAGGGATTCGCACATTTTTGACACCAACTCTCTGTTGAAAATGAGGGTTCGCTGTAGTAGTGGTGGTCTCTTCTGTGGTCACATTCACATTGTTTTCAGTTGAAAAGCCAAGTAAAAGATTGCTCTCACTTTTGGCTATTTCACGTCTCCTTCTCCTTCTCTTAACAGATTTGTCAAAATCCTCTCTTTTAATGGCAACAAAATTTCAAATTAGTATTAATTTTAATTAATTATAGATATAATACTTTTTAATATAAATAGTGTTAATGAGATGATCTTCAAAACTGATTCTTCGTTCAACATCCGTGTCGTCCATAAGTGAGGGCCGACACGAACAGCACTCTTCTGACTCCGAATCAGAGTTTGATTTATTTTTCATAAGCCATGGGTTATGGACTTGTGTGCAGTTGTTGTCGAGTGGCGGGTCGTCCACAATCTTTTTGGGCGTATCGTGTGTTATGGCTGTTATAACATTCAATATAACATTCAATTGGTTTAATCGTTAAATATGTGGCAAATAATTGCACTCAAAGTCTCGTTAATGTGTCTTACGTTCTGTACAATAGTTCCTCTCATTTAGAGAATCGAGTTCTCGTGAATTCGGAGTTCCAGTCACTAAATAATGGGTCACTTCTCCGTTAGGACGCGACGGTTCGTCCCATTCAATAAAAATCTCTGTTGGAGTGTCTGAACGAGCGGTCAGTTTTCGGGGCTGAGACGGAGCTGTTGAAGAATAGAAGAATACAGAAAATAATTAATACAAATAATTCAAATGTAATGCAAAGAGAAAAGCGATGACTGACTGTCTTCTTGTGTTTTAAAGTAGATGACAGGACTCTGAGCGCCCTTTTTCTCCGATGCAATCGTATATGTTTTGATGTAAAGCGCGTATTGAGTAAAGGGCTTCAATTGAGGAATAATATGAGTGATATAATCGTCTTCAGCGTCATTGGCCTCATAGTCGTCCACTTTCCAGAAGTTGGTCGAACACGCGTCCCGTCCGTCGTATATACTTATGTTCTTATAAGGGCTGAGAGGGAAAGACAAACACACATTCATATCATATGAGTTACAATTCAAATAACAAACAAAACAATTCTTACGATTCTTTATAATAGATAAGATATCCGAGAAGTGAGCGCTGATCACCCATCAGGTGCTTAAAGTTCTGGAAGCGAATGCCAACCATAACTGTACCCCTTTTCCAGATGTGGACTTTGAGTTCATTGACATCACAGGCAACTTTGTCACCGTTGGAATGCGGCGACACGTCGTGGTTATCCCACGGCGGCGCGTGATGTTTGATGTCTGCGTACGTGTTGTACATATTCTCGATCTTATTGTAACACAATTTAGGGTTTATATGGAAGAATATTTTGCCCTTCAATATAGTCAACTGCTTTTCGTTGCCACTTATGCTGTTGTTATCAAAACTCCATAAGTCCTGAAGATTTGGATTATCCAAAACCAGCAAAGAATATCTAATGAAAGCAAATAAATCATTGAAAACAATGTTTAAACATAAGTCAACTCCAAGACTCACTCATTTCTCTCCAATTGATTGCCATGAATGAGACGTAACTTTTTAAGAAAGTTGAGTGTAATGAGAGGGAATGACCTTGCTACCTTTAGAAAACCTGTTATCTCTTCCAAATGCTGCAAATTCTCTTCCAATTCGCGAATTACATTAGCTGTCAATTCACACAAATTATTAGCATAAAAGTCAATACTAATTATCGGTTTAGTCAATACCTCCGCCGCTTTGAATGTATATCTCAAGAGAGCCATTGATTTTAGTACAACCCCTGAGACTCTGCGCGGAAGCTATGTTTGTCACCTGCGCTGCCGGACAGACCTTAGGACACGGGCCGTGACAACTGTCACACAAGTGTTTGTGTTCACTGTTTTCTGTGGAACCGGGCGGACATTCGGCAGTACACGTGCCGTTAATTGGTTTCAAAAATTTATCCTTATTGTAATGTTTGGCAGAAATCTCCAGACATTCATCTTTGGATATACATCTTCGGCCCAAATACTAAATCAAAATCACATTTTATTAAATAAATTCATAATTTTCATAACAATAGCCAATTTATACCTCATATGTATTTGTGGGACAATTTTCTTGACATTTATTGTTATAGAAGAACTTTTGACAGGCGAAGCATTTGTGCTCCGAATCATCAGTACATCCACTCAAACAGTTTTTGTCACAACAGGTGCCCGAACGCGAACACGAAACGTTCCGACGCTCGCACTCTATTGGACACGACACTAATCCAAACAATAATCCATTTGTTAAATGTATTCAATAAATATTACATTTAATGAATGCTTACATTTTTGGCAGAAGTCGTTCTGAGAGTTCCAACAAAGTCTTCCGCTTTGATCGCCGATCTGTTTGCCATCGAGTGTTCGGGCGCTGCTATACGGACACTGCGAACTACAGATCGGGCACTCCTTTCGAGCTTTATTTCCCTGATTATTGACATTAATGTAATCAAACCATACGTTTGACAATCCATGTAAAAACAACTCACATGAATGTAATGACCGTTTTTAGCACTTTTGGCAATTCTGTCCCAATCGATGGTCTCAACGAAACATAGATTGGGGTTCTTCTCGACCCGAACGGCGCCCCTAACTATGTGTGTAAGGGATCGGAGGCCTAATTGCTGTAAATTAAGCATTTCGTAGACCACAAGAGCGAAGTCGTGGAAGAGATTGCGCCCCCGAATGACAGACAGGTTTGGAAAGAGTTTCCCCAAAGAAGGCAAACCCATCGCTCGGAACAGCAATAAATAGTCTGTGATTTCTCTGAGCGCCGGAAACGTGAGGTTCTCGTAGTCTTTGGGCGTTCCGTTGTCTATCAGGACTATCCGGACATAGCCTTCAACTACTGTACAGTTCTTCAGTTTACTGAAGTACTCAACACTATTCCTGATGTCAACGTTTCCACACACTGTAACACATCACACATCAGACATCAATACATCAACATTTGTCTCAAATATATCAATCAAATCAATATTGAAATCCATAACAACTCAAGAGACACAACAAGTGATCGCATTTCCAAAACAGTTTCATTAATAAATAAATATTAATAATAATTCAGTATTAAAAACAAAGTAACAAATAATCAATTTTCTTGTTTACTATTAACTCGTTGTTGTGTCTCATTTGTGGTAAACATATTTCATTTATAATTGATTAACAAAATAAACAAAACATGAGTCAAATGGTAATCATTATCAGTAAAAGCAATCATACGGTCGTCTCATTTCATTTCAATTGTAATTACAATTAAGATTCATATCAAGTATTAAAGAGTCAAATGAATAACAAGTGTTTAAACACTTATACAATACAAAAAGGCATTCAATTCAAGAGACAATCGGTGGACATGCGGTCCAAATGACACCATTTAACACATGATATTGTCATAAATGTCACCATCAATTGGTCCAAACACTTACCAAACTCTTGAGCCATCACTCGATCCATACAACAGACAATAGATACCAAAAGGACGCCAATGAGTGAAAAGACCATTTTGGGAGCAATCGTTTCCTCCGCTTATATATCGACCATAAGTGGCATCATTTCGAGCATTGGATCAGTTTGTGGTGATAGTGGCGCCGAAGACATCAATATATAATTGTTGATACAATGGATCAGAAACTAGTGTTTCAAACATTCACCACATCTAAAGAGCCATCACTCAGTCATTCACTGCAAACGTGCACTTCATATGTGGTCTCATTTCTTCATTCACTTCACATTAAAGGGTCGCACAAAACGGCACTAATTGTCACGTCGTTTGCGAACAGACCTCTTCTCTCGTTCACTCTCTACGGCACAGCAATGTCTTCGACTGCAACCACATCTGCGGACGCCATCAATGTTTTGGTCACACAATCGTTGGCAAGCAATCAATGGCCGCCATTAGTGGCCACACGAGTGCTTTGGCAGCGAATTGGAGTCACTTTCAACACTAATACAACGTTTGGAGCGAATTATAGCGCAAGTAATGGTGAAAACACTGTACTGTGAGTCAGTGGCAAACTGTGTCAAAATGTATGTTCACTTGTTTACTACTTATTCACCTCAAATCCCACACCACTCACAACCAACGTACGAATTCACACTCAATTCCGCTCTCCTTTCGCCCCCTTCCCCACACATGGCAACGCTGAGAGAGTGTGGGACCCGTCATATATGCGGTGACTGGTTTGGATGGGTTGGTGCAGTGATTGGGTGGACGTAATAGCGGTGACATAAGTTGTTGACAAGTTTTGACTCATTTCAAGGTCGTTACCCCACAAACACCACCACTACTGCCACTACTACTGCCCTCTCGTCACACACTATACACACCACAACTGTATTGACACAAACCAACACAACAAACAGTGTTTGTGTCAAACGGTGTGATAACATGTGGATTAAGCACTCCGTGAATGGCTTACAGCGGATCCCAAGACTGTATGGTCTGAGCGCCGGTTGTGTGCCATCAGTGGTGTGGAGTCGACGGCCAAAGCATTGGTGGACTCAACGCTCCGTTGATTGCAATTACGATACCATTAATAGGCCTCACATTCACTCAAAACTTATGAAACAATTTTCAAGTGATCATCAAATGAGTGATAAATGGTATGAGTTATCGATATTATGGTTGAAATGATTGTTTCATTTGTGTTATTGTATTGAAAACAGTTGGAAATGTTTGGCCACATTAGACACGAGTCAAGTGCGGCTTTTTTGCCACAAATGCCATTCAATACAAGCACTTCATTGGGATCTCAATTATTACCATTTGTTTCAACAAAACTTCTCATTTGATGTCAATTTATTTGATTTGAATAAAGAGTTTAAAAAACTTCAAATGGCAACACATCCCGACAAATGGGTCAATGCATCTCATGTTAGTTCATATCATATCTATTATATCTATGAATTGGCAAAACAATGTCAGGAATGAAGCATTTTTACAATTTATGACAACTATTTGATGACAGCTATTGTCTGTATTGAGGATTTGATGGTTAATTAAATGATGATATTATGAATGATTGAATAATTAGATGCAAAGCACATACATATTGTAAATTTTATATCTAATTTTTGTAGACAATCAACTGTCAACTAATAAAACTAGCTAAAAATGTGGTCAATAATTAGTTTTGACATATCTAAAATGGATAATTATAAATGCAACATTTGTGCACTTTGCAACAAAGATTTGAACAAATTAGGAACAGTTGTCAAAATAAGTTGACAAATAAGTATTTGTAACTTAAAATTAGAGAATATATTGTGTTTTATAAATGTTATATTAAATATGTTATATGTTTGATGACATTTGAATAATGATTATTAACATGAATTGATTTGATTGACAGCGAGAGCACACCTATTCAATGGACAACTCGTCGCTTATAAACAAAGCTTATAAAACACTTCGCGATCCATACGAACGCGGCGTCTATTTATTGAATATATTATTCAATACTCAGATCCAAGAAAGTGGGTATTATTCACATTATTATGACTACATTTTGTGTCTATACTCTAACTATTAATAAATATAACACTCATTAATAGCATTAGTTAATTAATTAATTAATTTTATTATAAAATTGAGTACATTTTGCGAAAATAAGTTAAAATGAATAAAATTATAATAATATTTATGTATAATTCAGACGAAACTCGATTTGATTCACAATTTTTGTCGGAAATAATGAAAGTGAATGAAGACATCGAAGAAAACATTGTTTCAAAGAATAAATTAATGAACATTTTTACGGACAACGAGAAGAATATGAAAAAAGTAATGCATGACATGTCACTAGCGTTTGAGTCGAACGATGTAATTAACGCTAAACTATTGTTATCAAAATTTAAATTTTATATTACATTAGATTTAAGTTTAAAAGAAAAATTAGCAAAATTTTGAATAAAATTCATAGTTTTCTAGTGTTTTTTAAATTGTATTAAAGAAAGTATTTAACATATATTTAAATTATATTGCCTTAAATTGTTTGAATAATGAAATAATAAATATTTATTTAGTGTTATTATTGAAGTGATTGTTTGATGTGATTTACAAAATGAGTACAATTTTGACTTTAAAATGATTATCATTTGATTCGTTCACACGAACAGCCATTTCTTAGTCGGATGTAATCCATACGCCACGGGAATGTCTGCAATCAATAGTCAGTTATTAATCACAATTTGGTCTCATATACTGTGTATTCAATACAACACTCACTTCAGGTGCAGTGAATTCTCTGACTAAAGCGTAAGTAAAGCTATATTTCTGAACGCATTGAAAACGATGGATGAAAGCCTTGGAGAGGGAAAGTTGTCCAAAACGAGCACATCTTTTGCCCTTTTCTTTGCACGAGATTTGATAAAAACTTTGAGTTGAATTCTCATCCCTATAAAGCTCTAAAATGCGCCCACTTTTCGATACTCCACCTGAAGTTTCATTGGTTTACATTTAGATATTAACAAATCATTTGTTATATTATAGTCTATAAATATCTAATTCTTAAAACAACCTTATTTTTAGATTTAACAATATTTATCAATATATAGTCTATAAAATGGTATAGTCTATTTCGCTCTTCTAATATTATACCCTTCACTTTCAATATACAATGCGGTGTTTAATGGTTTTAATTGCCGACAAAACACATGAAGGGTATATATATATATATTTTAATTTCTACATTTTCACAAATAAAATTCCGTGAGAATATGTAGACTATATTTGTATTAAATATTGCTATTTAAAATTAAAATTAAATTAAACATACAGTATTTGCATAATTTGCTAAATTTAAAGTTTGGTCTATTCCTGACTGTAAACTAGACTAAAAAGCTCAACCACTACAATTTATAATTGAAAATATACATCAATTCTGACACCATATGTATCCATTCTTTAGTTAAAAATTATAACTTATATAATTATACGGGTTTATAGAATTTACCACACAGTAAATTAGTAAGTAGTGTTTATATTGTAGTCTTATATTGAGTCGAATACAGAATTATTACATAACGACTACCATTTGAAATAAAATATACATTAATTTAAATGTGATATTGATATTGACATACAATATAAATGATGTACTCTTAGAGCGAACAGAACATACCCTTTGGTTGAATGATTTCTTCAATGGATTGACAGCATTCTGTGATTATTGTTATGCCTCCTCTCGGTTGAGATCTTTTGCTTAAATCGATTTTACTTTTATTAAACACTAAATTATTCCTAATTGTAAATAATTGTTAATTAAATAATCTTCACTTGATTTACAAAATATTAGATTAAATATAAGATCTTATACTCATTTATATGATTGAAATTCCATCGATGAATATTCTTATGAGGATTTGATTCAATCTTTTGCAATGCACTCAATATGATTGGAAATGTCTGCAAATAATCAATTTATTGTCATTTGCTATTTTCAAAGTCCAATTGTAATTGATTTATAATAATTTTGAATGTTATTTATAGAGCGTAATAGAGTGTCGATTACACGGCAATAAAAACACAAATTCAATCGGGAATCGGCAATAATAGTGTAAAAGTAGGGAAATATTTATTAAATTTTGTGACAATAGTTATGTATTTTAAAAATAAAAATTAAAAAGACTAAAATAGAATTGTATGCGATATTAATATTATAGATTGATATTTATCGAGACCATAATAATTGAAAAATTTTTGATAATAAACTGAAGATATTGCTACCAATCGGTAAATTAAGTGTCAAATAAAAACTATTGCTTTTTAAATATATAAATTAAATTAAGTTTTATGAAGAATTTGAATTAATAACTGTCATGTTTGACATTTAATTAATTTAATTTATACAGTAGTGGGAGAGGGAAGAGAAGATATCATTTACATACTCACAAAATTATTATTTAGGATTATTAATAGAAAAAGCTTAAATTATAACTATAGTATTGTATAAGAAAACTATTGAGATGTTTTTAGTGGGCGTAAATTGAGATTTCTCAGGGGATGATTGTTTTAAATTTAGGCAATTTATTGTGAGAAATAACAATACTGTACATTATATACCGTATATACATTTGATAAATCAGTGTTAATATGTGAATTATAACTATTTGTTTGACTTGAATTATTTTATAACATTTATATGAATAAATAATATACTGATTATTCTTTACTGTAAAAAAATGTTGATTACATAATAAAAAATCTAATTTTCTAAGTCATTGCTTTTTACAATTTACTTTCAATTGAAGTTTTATTCATTTAATAAGTTTTTATAGCAATAAATTAACACAATTTAATTGAATCACCTCCATGTGTTTTACTAAATTCTAAATTATTTGATATAATCATAAAGATTATCTTAAAATTTGTACATTTGTTTATTATTAGAATTTTATATTGTTAAAATTTGATTTAGCAATGATATTTTGTTGTTATTATTAAATTATATATATGTATATTATATGTATATTATTAATTTTTGTACATTTATAAGTACATTTGTACATTTTGTACTTATAACAGTAATATTTATTAAGAACAATAAAAGTCGTAAAGATGTCTAGTTAAAGCATTTATTAAATTGTCAAACGATATGTGCCTTAAAAATAATACAAATTCCATTTTTTCTTGTAATATTAGTGTTGGGCCAACACTGCTCAACACTGTTCAACACTGTTGGTCAAAAAAATCTCTTAAAAATTTCTCAATAGAAAGTTTTTTAGAAATGATAAATCTAATTTATATAAATATATTTTTTTTAAATAAAATACCTTTAAAATATTATTTGTCAAATCAATAATACAATGTCCATAGATTGTCATATATAGAGTATATCGTTATTGTTAATAATAATAATTTCAATGTTTCGCGACACTAATATATTATGTTTTAATTTAGTACAGTATTTGAAAAAAGTCGGAAAACAATAGTTATTAATAAACAATGACTATTTGCAATTAAAGTGATTGTATGGGAGAATGGCCTCAATATGATTGCTTTATAGTATGTAATTGTTGTGAATATAAAGTCCTACGTATGCCTTAGGAATGGGAGAAAAGGTAAATAAGTGAAAATTGAAAGTCTGCTTATAATCAAACTTATAATCCAATAGTTTTGAGTTAACACTAAATTAATGTTTACTCTACAAAAACAAAATGACAAAATTGTTTGTTTAAAAGTATGTTGTATTGAAGGCGACGTAAGAAAAGGACAAAAACAGTTGATTGTAGACTAGAATAAACTTAAGAACCAATTGTATTGTTTTTCAGATATATCTCCTCTTCAGAACTCAAACCAATATTGTTATAAATTAATTGAATTAAAACCTTAAAAACTGTGAACTTATATATTTCACATTAATTTCAATCGCATCGCAAACCCTCCTCTAAATTATATTTACAACATTTGACACAATTTTCAATTTCACATAAAGTTTTCAATTGGAAAATGCATTTCAATCGTCAAAAGGGTCAGTGGAGGCAATCTTTGTATTAATTGTATTTATTTATTATAATTTGTTTAAAAAAGTTATTTGAGTAAAAAAGCAGAATATTTTTATGATTTTTCGATTGCATATATCACTATTTATTTAATGTAAACCTTTTCATATACTTTACATGTATTATTTATATTTTATTATACTGTTTTATAAAATGATTATATTTTCATACATTTTCCTTATTATTCAAAGGCAGTCTTTTTTCCTAAAGCTATAAATATTTAACAAAACTATTTAAAAATTATTTTCATGTCTTGAAGGTCTACAGGAGTTGTTTTAATATTTGCGTTAAAATATATTAAATTAAAAGAAAAAAGAAAGCAATGAATTTAGTGAATATTTACTGTGATTTACATCTTATTTAGAAATTTACTCTTTTATAAGAACATAACTTAATGTTCATTACATTGTAATGTATACACTTTAAGGTGTTTAAGGTATGTATTAAAGTATGTGCATTGTTATATTAAAATGCCTATTTATATTACAATACAATTATGTAAATTGTATACAAAGTACAACTTTATATTAAATAATTAAATTAAATAATAATTTCATAAATCATTTTTTGCATATATATTGCTGTCAAAAAATTTCTTAAATTAATATAAATATATTCTAACATACCTATCAATTTTTATTTTTGGAAAAAGCTTTAAAATCAATTAATGTTGGGCTAAACTAAATATCAAACGTAGGTATTATCACATATCATATCATATATTAATTGCTGTAAATGCAATTAATAGCATATTAATTAATTATTAAATGATCTGTAAAATAATTACATAATAGTCTTGTTATTTGGTATATTATATCGATAGTAGAGAAATGCATGAGAATTGGGCGTCACATCAATATTTGAATTCTATGTAACTAATAATTATCACAAATGAGAAAATGTTGTACAAATCTATTACCCATTGCTTATGTTCTATTAATTATGTTGTAAGTAATTGATGGTAACTTACGAATATACACAACAGTTATTCTTTAACTTATTGTGAGATAGAGTTTCACATAATAATCAAATACTTATGAAATATTAATTCCTGTCATTTAATAGCAACAGAATAATATCCACATAATATAATTGTTTTTGACTAGTGTTTGATTCAAAACACTTTTATTTCTAATATTTATGTTTACAATAAACTATAATTTTCTCTATTATTGCTAATGCCTTGTATTTTATTTTGATACTAATTTTATTCATAAATAACTAATGTTATTATGAAATATTTATAAAAATTACATAACATTTCAATTGACATTAAGTGACATTTCATATAATACCCACTTTTTATAGTTTATAATATTGGGATTTTATTGAAACAAATTTGACGACCACTTTGTGGAAAATTGAGACATTTTCCAACTTTTAGTGATAAGTACCGAATGACAATCTTTTAACTTTAATTTTAATACATAAATACAGGGATTTTAATTTTGCAAATTAGAATTTACAATTTTGACTAAAGAAATACAACTTTAATTAAGAAAATGTAGCTTATTTGATGAATTTGTGCTTTAATTGATATAATTTTAAATAATACATTTTCTTAAATTAATGCAACGCCAGTTTTCTTCATTTGATACATTAGAGGTACCATTCAAGAGAATTTACTATTAAGATGAGTTAATAGTATAGCATTTTTATATTATAATAACTTACTATCTACTTTATTTTAATAAGCATTTTATTTTAAAGATTCAATATTTGAAACAGTTATATAAAATCAAATTTAGTAAATTTTTTGTGTATAAAATGCAAACATATTTGGAAATTTGTGCAAAAACAACATTTAAAAATTTATAAGTTTATAGAATAAAAGATAAGGTTATGGTATAAAATATAAATTATAAATTTTATACAATTTATAAACGATAAAAATATCCTTTGGATGACATGTAATACTTGCCAGAAAGCAATAAAGTGTTGTCCGCAATGTTTTATCCATTTTATATAAACAGCAATTTTATGAATTAATATTTCATATTTCATTTAAAACTTTTAATTTGTATTTAAAGTATAATTATTAGTTTGAAATAACGAATAAACGGATCTAAGATTAGAGCAAACCATAGAAACACGTCACATATAAAGTGTAAGTTTTAGTGTCGACTCCGCCAACGATGAGATGTTTGTCTAACATTCAGGTGATGTTATCTCTCATTCCTCTGCGAATAGCATTATCTTAACGCTAAAGCAAAACAACTCCAGACGTATTGCTCTCTCCACTCACTGACTCCTGACTCCCACAGCATTACTGCAAACCATTTAAGACTTCGTCTGAAAAACGAATAAAAGCGGAAAGAAATGAAGAAATAGATGACAAGAAAATCATTGAGGGATTGCTTTTTATATTAAATTAATTGCATTACTCATTAGCATAAGTATCGCAGTTTGCCATCACTTCTCATTACTTTTCGCTGCATCTAATGTTATAAACAAACGGTTAGTTAATTTAATCATGTTTTAAATATTATACATGTACTGTATTAAAGTAATAATTGACATTTTGACACAATTTATGATAAACTCACAAACTATTTCTAACATGATTATAAGTATTATTAATATAACTACATATAGAGTACAGATTTCTTAGAGATAGGTAACAGTAGATCATTCAGTAGATCTGATTTGATTCAAAGTATAAAGGGATAAGGTTGTCATTTTAAACCAATATTTAATTTACCATCATATTACATGATGTTAGATATTAGTAAAATAAGTGGCAAAATCCAAAATCACCTCACGTAATTATAAGTTTGTAATTAATTAACAAATAAGAATAAAAAACATTTAACAATTGAAATATTTATACACAAGTAGTGACTTTAATAATATATAGATGCATTTTGCAGTTTATATGTTAGCATAATGTAATAAGTGTTCATTTATCAGTGTATTATATCATATATGAGAAGTTCTCATTGAGAACAATTGTAAATGAATGTTACATAATATATTCCCTAATTTAAACTCTATTAAAACATTAAAACAATAATCTAATTCTTGGAACTATACCTTGGTATTCTTGGTATTAAGAACACTATTATTTTATTGATTGTTTTGTTAACACTATTAATTAAAACAATGTTTGTAAATAAACTGCACATTTTTTAATTTAATTTTGTTAAACTTGGAAAATACTGTACTTTAAAATAAATTGTTTATCTATTTATTACAACAGTATTATATCAATTTTAATGCCACTAAAATGTGCATATATTAATATTACATTTATAATTATTTGACAATTAAATAACGTATTCCTAAAATGTTTATTATGTTTTACAATATTACTAAATTTAGTACTCAGTTTTTAATAAATTAAATTGTTGTGTTTATATGTATTAAATATATTAATAGTTTAGAAATGAGATATTATTAGAAACAAGAATTGATTGTCTCATCACATGAGTGGCGATCAGATAATATAAGATGAGATTTGGCTCAAAATTGAGTGTCCGACTTATTTGAGCTAAATTTCAATACACTTTCATATGAGTTAACACATTAGACGTCATTATTATCTCAATACAAGAGATTGTATTTATAAGCGATTGACGTAATGAGACATAAAGTCATAAGTTTTTTCTCACAAACTTTGTTGTATTAACTGTTATTTTATATAAACAATGTGTTAATGATATTATGTTATTAAACATGAAACTAATTTAAAGTCTAATTTTGCTTACAATTAAAAGTATTTTTCATGTGATCCCATAAATCTGTAATTAATTGGCTTTATTATCTACATCTTTAATTTAATTTGAGTTTACATCACTATATCAATCTATGTAATCAATAATATTAACATTTTTATTAAATATAGAGATGGTTGGTTTAATAAATATTAAATTGATTCAAGAATATAGATATTTGTTTAAATTGTATGAATTTATTAAAAAAGTAACATTAGTATTAACATTATACAGTACAGTATAACATTAGTAACATTACATTTAGTTACTTCATGTTTTACTTAAAGGATACTTCACTGTAAGACAGCGCTTGTTTTCAATTAGTTTAATTAAAAGCGCAGACTTAAGTGTAGAGTATAAATGTCTAGTTTTTTACCATGCTCAATATACTGTAACAAGTATTTGAATATTTTATAAATTAAATGACATGATTATATTATGATTTTACATTAATTATTTAATATTGTAACACTAACTCTGTCTTATATTTTGTTATACAGAAACATAAAAACAGAATTTTAATTAAATTTAAATAATTAAAAACAATAATTTTATATTCGTTTCATATTAAAATTGTTGCAATTTTTTATTGATATAAATAATACATATTACATAAATAAATAATATATTAAAACAATAAAAGTAACAAAAATTAACTAATATTTTGTATAATAAATTAATTATTATAATACAGTAATTATTTAACGGATCTAATTGTCTATCTTATGAGTTATAACTAATTATGAGTAATTATATTGTCATCTAATTCTTATTTCCAGAATCCTATGTTTAAATAAATCTCATATTTTAAGGATTATTTTGAAATATTTTACAGAAAACATTATTATAAAAACAACATTAATTTCAATAATAGAAAAGTTGTGAATTTATAATAAATGCTAAATTAATAGTTAAGAAAATAAGCAAAATGTTTAATATTATAATTTGCTTATTAATTAAATATTAGAAACAATTACTGAGTAAATCATTAAAGACACGGAAAAGTGATCCAATAATGGAGTCAACACTTGAACATATCGCACAACAACTTCTCCATAGGAGTGCCTAAAATATAATTAACAATTTCAGACATAAAATGCTTAAAATATTAGACAATAAATCAATACTTCCTATCGTTCTCTGGAAATAAATGTCTGCTATTTTGTCAGAAGATATAATTCTTAATGAAAGCAATGAAAGCAATAACTTTCCAAATCTATAAATTAAAATGTTATCAATGAATACAATTGTAACTATTAATAAATAAATGTAATTCGTTAATATTGAGAAATACCTTGTTGGATTAGTAGGATTGTGAGCTTTAACATGTTGCAAAAGCATCAGTTGTGCTTGGTCCTGCATGTGCTCAATTCGGTTTATGTCTTTCAGACCTCTTCCCTCTGAAAAACATTTTTTGTTAGTAAAAATGGCATTTAAAGCAAGAATGAGGCGAAACCTGGTTTGAAAAGTGCGAGTGCTTTCAAACAGGCGAACTCAGCCGCGTCTACACCAGTGTTACGAAACCTATTAAGAGCGTCGTTAAGGACCCGAATATCACTGGAGTGTTCGCTGCCGTCGGGTATACTTGTTATTGAGAACAGCGGACACTTTTCTAATGGTATACACCATTGGATTGCACTCAACAGAAATATCTCAGCCCACGATTCCTCCAGAAGAATAACCTTAATGTATGCCATATTTATTAATCCATTTGTATGGTTGTGACAGAATATACAATACTTGGTCTCTAAATGTGAGGTTTGCAAATGAGGGTAAATTTTTAGCCCATTTGACGGCCATAAACAAAAGTCGTGCCGATGTTTCATATATGGACTCTGATGTGCACTGAATCATAGCATTGAATGCCTGATCAGATCCTACAGAATAGCTCAACGACGACAGAGCGCCCATTGGATTGACGTTCAGGTAATGCTGTCCTAAACCACTACTACTGTAATCAAAATGTGCACTCATTGTACGATTCCTCTCCATATCTAAACAATATTTATAAATTGTAAATATTTATATCGTTTATTATAAGAATATATGCCAACCCTTGGTGTTGTCCTCCAACTGGTCTTCACTTTTATTTATTGAATTTCTTATCTCAGAATTTAATTTGTTTTGTTGAGAAAATCCTATATTAGGACACCGGCTGTTGGCTAACGAACGAACTCCTGTTAGAAAATATATGAATTAATTATTATCTAATTTATATAACTTAGATATGGATGTGATTTTAATTTTAAATTAATATGAATAATAAGATTGTAATGAATACCAGTGCCGGCAGCGAACACAGCGGCCACAGTAGCCGCCACTCCATCTCTTATTAGTCTTTCACTCTCACTATCGTTGAGCAAACTCTCTGGTCTTATGGTTGCTGTAAATTATATATTTTATATGTAAAGTACACCAATCCATCCAAACATTGGGTTCATTTAACTCTCAATAACTTTTAATATATTGATTAAACAAATAGTACATCAAAGGTCTCTATTAGGGTCACCTATTTTGCAGATAATTTTTTTAAAAAAATTTCTTATGGTCAAATTAAATTTAAATGTTTATTTTAACACTTCGGAGTCGGTAACTGACCACATCTAAAACATTTCTAACCCTAAATATCCTAAAATTATTCATTTAGTATTTTAAGATGATTTTTAACAATTTTAAGTTAAAATTAAAAAATTTTACATTTCAAAGTATGTAGCCTTAAAAAGTTTAAATAATATGTAGTTATTTTGACCACCAGATCTAATAAAACTTTTAACTAAAATTACCAATTCCATATATAAAAATGTAGAATTATATGTTAGATTAGAAATCAACGAATTATTCATTAATAAAAAAGTTATTTAAGAGTTGAATCGCCCAACGTTATAATCAATTATGGTGTATATTAAATAATACACATACTGTATAATAGAATATAACACTTAAATTCATATGATTATTATATATCATCAGTTAAATATTGACCGTTCCTTAAGATATTTCATCAATACATGTGATGTAATAATTAATATATAATTAACATCTTTACGAATCGGCTCATACTGTATAGCCGTTTGCAGACAAACACATTACTGTTATATTCATTTACCTGTATTTCTCGGTTGCCTTTCATTTTGTACGGCTGTTGACAAAAGTTATCATCATGTTAGATTAATTATTCAACATGTTAATTGTAATAAAACATACCAAGTATATTATTTATTAATTTTTATTCTTACTTGTTCTAATCAATGTTCTAATTAATTATATTTTGATAAAATTTCATTTTGTTTTTAGAATGTTTTCAAAATAATATACGGTATATTTGTAAACTATACGGTAATACTAAACTGTATTAAATATATGGTAGTATGCTTTTTAAACTAGCTTATAATATAAAGATTTACATTAAATTTTATCAAAAAACAATAGCACTATTATTTTCTTATTACTTGTGTAATATTTGGTAACTATTCTTTTGTAACACAAATAAGTGTTAATCTAATTAACTGTGTTTACAAATACAATAAATTTAAGTTAAACTAAAAATTATTGTTCATGCACAAAATTTTAAAATATTCAATTTAATTGCTAATACAGTATAAATACGAAACTATAAAATGGTGTATATCTTACCATCTTTATTCATTCCCTTCATTGTGAGCACAAAAGAGATGTTAAATTGCATAAAATTTATATAAGATATAGAGGTTATAATTTACTATTTATGAGCGGATAAATAATATTATGTAAACTTGTAAAAGCAACTATTTAAAGATAGCATTGGATAATTAGGATTGTATTGTATCGGATTTGATTTTATAATTTTCTTGTAAATAAAATGTTAATATTTTATAATCACTAATTAAAACAGTATAACTGACTTATATTAGGTATTTTAACAATATAATTATAAAATACATTACATTAAATAAACTTAATATTAAACAAATAATTACTTCATACCATTGTTAGACATTTTTTGAGACGACAAGATTGGCATTGATTTCGATGTTGTTTATCTATAACACAACCTCCAGTTCCCGCTTGACATCTATTTTTAAATTTTAATGTGAATATTGTTTAAACTATAACAATAACTTTTAAAATTTAATTTTATATTTATTTAAAATTAAACATGTTATAATTGATATTATTTACTTCAATATACTTTATTTCATTGGTTAAATTCAGTGTATGTTATATGATATAACTTATATCACAGAAAATCTAAATTAATTGTATGATTAACTTTTAAACCCTGAATTTAAATCTCCTATACTTTAGAATACAAATAACCTTTAATTCTTTATTAATATTATGTCTACAGAATTTATATATTGTTTCTCAAAAAAATGTTGATCAATTTTTATTTAGACCAATAATGACTAACTAATTATAATAATAACATATTTATTATAAAAGACGTTTCGGGTATTGTTTAAATTATTTAAATTTAAAATTAAATAATTACTACAGTATCTCATAAACTCTTAATAAATAAATATATTGCACCATTTTATCAAAAATACATAAGACATGTTAAATGACAAACAATATATCAATTTATGACAACAGTTGGCTCGTCATAAATCACTCGATTATGAGACAAATTAAATGCACCGAATGTTCCTAAGGATAGTATAGTATTAAAAAACTGAATCGGATTTATGCAGTTTCTAACGATGCAAACCCCTTTTATAAAACGTATTAGCGTTAGCATTATACATTGACTTATCATTACCAATAGTCTATGAGCCATAGACTAAACATTGCCCATAGAATTAGAATTAGTCCCATAGAATTAGCATTAGTCGCATAGATTTAACATTACCCATAGACTTAAAAGCATTACCCATGTTAATCCTATGAGAGTTTCCCCGTGTTAAAGTATAGCCATAGACTTAAGCTGTAATTCCATGTTAAATTCCATAGGGTGGGGGCCGGGGGAGGGGTAGCCGAACAATCCTAGCTGAATTACTGAACATAGCTGAATTGTGGTTAAAAATAATAGGGTCTATGAAAAGCTCAAAATAGCATTTGAGACAAGCCTTAAACATAATTTTATACTAAATTTTATATAATGTTAAAAATCATTTGAATTAAATGTTTAGATTATAAATTTGAAAATAATTTATAAATATTTAAATAACTATAATTAGAATAAGCTTTTTGAGTGTTTATATAAAGGCTGTTTAGTTATATATTTTTAAGTAATTCAAAATCTAACATAAGCTGTGATTGAAAATGATTGCAAATAATGACCTATAGATGAGTTTTCTTCGGACACTGCGTTTGAAGAAACCGCTGCAACCATTGCACGCAAGAATGCCGTAATGTTTACCACTGGATGTGTCGCCACAAACCACGCAAAGAAGTCCAGGCGATGGCCTCTTAATGGCGTTTCGGATAATTTGGTTGTTTTGAGTCAATTCGCTCTGATTTGAAAGATTAGATCCAGAAGTGCAGAGATTGGACGAGTGTTGACCAGAATATGGGATCGATTCGTGCGAAGAGTTAGTGACCGAGAGATTGAGAGGTCGATTGTGTCCCTGACTTATATTGTTTGCAATGATTGGCTTAAATAGTGTCGGACTTATAAAGAGTGGAGAAGAGTTGGCCAGTGATGTGAACGGAGCGGACGAACAGCTATTTAAAGTGAACGAAAGATTTGCATCGAAAAAGTTTTGCTTTTTATGAGGCATTGCATCGAAACGCGAGAATAAATGTGTTTGAGTGTGACTTTGAGGCGGAGAAGTGGTCTTTTGTGGCTTCAAATCGGGTGTAGACTCGGAATCGCTGCCATCAGAAGACGATTGAGAATCTGAACCATATATAAGATGAGAAGAGAGAGATTGAGAGCATAACTATAATACTGTGAATTCAAAGTATAGTATAGAGCGATATGTATTGCAATTTAAGTAATCCATTCATGCGAGTCATCTCTCTATCGAAATAATGTCGAAACTAAGCTTTTGGTCGTTAGACTGAATGTGTTTTATCATAATAGCAAAGATGCGTGTCTTTTATGGGCTATAACTATAACCCAACAGACAAACAGACAAATTGAAAGAGGATTAGATAGCAGTCATTCCGACTTTCTATCAAATCTAATACAATCACTACTTTAGTGAGACTGTGGGTCCATATATGCCGTGCACTATAGTGTATAGTGTACTGCACTGTAATGTAGTGCAGAATGCGCTCATGTATTGATTGTGCGATTTGTGAAATTGTGACGCTAGTAGTGATGCTACCGATGCTCTCATTGCTTACCATTGCTTTCCATATACTAGTGATGGACTCTTTTAAGCCGATTACAGCAAAACGCATCACTTTAATTGATTTGTATAGACTTTACAACCAGACCTATAGCCCAATACACTGTACACTACACATGCAAACCCTGTTCAAACATTTGTGGTTTGCGACTCACTATCTAATCACGCGAACAATAAACGGATCCCAACTATTGGCACAGTATTGGCACCTGTGATACACCACTGCTCCCTATTAATCACCGATTATCTAATGCACGGATTAAGCTATGATTTGAAAGAACATAATACCCTTATTAAAGCTCAAAATTAATGAAATTTATTATATTATTCGTTATAATGCATACATTTAACAAATAATTTTTGATATTTTTGTTTTATATTTTAAGATTGAAATTGTATTTATCATTGACCGGAAAAGTGCCGGCTTTTCATAATTCCTATGAAAATGACTGTTTTTTCAAATAATTCTTTTGGTAATTCTGTAGTAATTCTGTTTCAGTTAATACACAAAAATGTCGTTTATTTATGAATTTACATATTTGGCAATTTTATATTATAAAATCTTAAAGAGGAATGAAGTGACTAAAAATGTAATATTAATATTGAATAATAAACTATATTATTGTCATAATAAGACATTAAATTTTGCACAATTGTTGCACACCTGCGAATTGCATGACTCCCCTATAATTACAATTATTTGTTAATAATTACAATGATTATCTTAAACTTTCATTTAGTTTAAATTATAATTTATTTATTTCATTATGATATAACATTATATGCCGACATACTGTATAACTCTTAACTCTCTAACTATCCCTATACTGAGTTTAAAGTATTAACTTATTAATTATGTAAAATTATATAAACTATATCAATTATATACACTTAAACACTATATAAAATTATTTATACAATTGAACATCATGTGATCAAAATTATTTTAAACTAACCATAATATTTTACACAATTAAAACTGAAAGCTTGCGGCAATTATTGTGAGTGTTTGTTAATATCCAATAGATATTAGTTGTGCAGTGATTTTTGTCATATTAAATAAATGGGTTAAGTGTGAGGCAAATGTAGAATATTATTGCATTTCTAAATAATTGAATATTTTATACACTATAAGTAATAGTCGATAATCTTTATAGATATTAAAGTTCACTTCAAATATCATATACAGGGAAAAGTATTTTATTGCTGTATAAATTAATCTCAATTGATGAACAAATGGGATGAAAAGTTAAAGAGGATTAGATATGGATTATCATATAAATGGGAAACACATCTATTATAATAAATGAATTTAATTAGAGATGAGAATTCATTAAAATGAGAGTATTTTTTATAAGAATCAATTACACTAAAAATGAGTACAAGAGTTGGAAAGGGAGAGGGAGGGAGAGAGAGAGATTAAGAGTTATACAGTATGTCGGCATATAATGTTATATCATAATGAAATAAATAAATTATAATTTAAACTAAATGAAAGTTTAAGAT